TTTAGGGCTTAGGGTTTGGGGTTGATAAGATTCGGCTCCACTACTCTACAGGTTTAGGCGTTGTTTTGGGTGTTGCAAGTTTGTGTCGAGTCCTTTTTTTGAGTTGGTTTGAAGCGTTTCGGTGTGCTTGGGGCTTTCTGGCTGAGAGTCTCGACGGTTGCTCAAACTCTTGCAGGATTATGTGGGGATAAGGGTCGACTACGAGCTTGCACGTCATGAGTGCGTAACATTGGTGCTTGAGTTTTTTATGGGTTTTAAGACTAGTGACCAGTGACATGGGTAGAACAACAAGACGATTGTCGTCCATGGTTCCAGCCTTATCAGACAGGGCTGTTACGCAGCGGCTTGATTCATTGGATTTTCCGAGTTGCTTTACACGTTTGAGTTCTTCGCTTTTGGGCTGCAGTGTTTTAGGCTGCATGCAGGCAGGTCCATGTTCAACTTGCTCGTGGGAGGGGAACACATATGTAATTATCAGAGCCGCCTTCCCATGTTCAAAACGCTAAACCCTAAACCCCAAAAGCAAGAGCCGAAATAACACAACTCCGACTGCTTGCCTGCTATTTACAATAAGGGCTTAGGTTGTGATAGGGTTCTGTGAACCCGATGCTCCAATGCTCGAGAAGAGCCTTTCCCTGCAAGGAGTTCCTTGGAATTCCATGCGCCGATCGCCAGATCTTTGGGTTGCACTTGCCTGCTTGTCGACACTGCGCGGTTTTGGTTCAGGGTGTAGGCTTTAGGGTTTAGCGGGGGTTTTACAATCCAAGTATCGCTTGAACTTGTTCTGCCAAGCTTACACGCCAAAGCCTCGAGCTTCTGTGCTGTCCACAACTTTGTGCAGTGCAATCCTTTGTTTCAGCTTTCCCCTCCACGTTGCTGTCTGTGATTTGTGTTTGTTGTCATGGTATCCTGCATTTGTGTTGCTTCTCAGCTGTTTGTGCCCGACGTTATTTGTATCTACCCGTGAGCGTGTGCATGTACATGTATATACACATATACCTATAGATGCACCCCCCCATATAATTAAGCATGTTCCCATGCACTTCATATAAATGAAATAAGTGGCACCCAATCACCCTCACCCTTGTCCAGTTATTTCGGCCCGTACTCCACCTCTTAAGTTTGGCGCCGCAGCATATTCCGTTGATCGCCTAGTATCTTGGATACAGCCCGCCCCCCACTCAGCAACAGTTGAAACGGGTATGTGCGGCCCTGCTTTAGAATGTCACTGTATGGGCTGTATGGGCGCAATACCCATCTAGTATCCTTTTGGCATGGACATGGAACGTTAGCTCCGAATTGTACCGAGCGTAGTACCTTAGAGCCTGGCCCATCGAGCCTAGGCCCTGAAAGGCTAATCTCGAAGATGCTGAGACCTAGGCTCTTACCCATAGGCTCCAAAGTAGTTCCTTTTTGGGTTACCTTATAGGATCCTAAATATAAGCCACAGAAAGGAACTACTTTGGAGCCTATGGGTATAGTCTTGTACCTGAGCATCATCACCACAGCGATAGAGCCGATGCTACTGGAGATTCAATGCAAATCGGGCGGTAGAAGCAGTCGCAAACAAGAGCGCTAGCCGTGCTATAGTAGCAACAACACCCTTGTCGCTCTTATGGTGGTAGCAATCGGGAAACTTATATAATACAAATCGCAAGTTTGAGGATGACAGCTGTGATGGTGAGCAGGATTGCTAAACATCTCGGCTGGAAAAAACACAGTAACTCGGGCCGAACCTGCAAACTTCGCCTACTCCGCAACACAAACGCATTCCCATTTCCACAACGAGCTCGAAACAGCTATCATTACTAATACTAAGTATCCAGGCCCAAGACAGTATGCAGATCATCGCTGTCGGTTTTCGGGTTGGGATTACTTGTGCCTGCAGGGTAATTAGGGCTGAACCCTAAAACCTCAGCCGTATTTGTCTGTGTGTTTTTCAGGTTTCGGAGACGAGTCTCGGATAAATTTTGGCGGGGGTCTCTCCGAGCAGCCGTCCTTAGGAGTCTGAGTGGATCACAGTCTGACAGTCTAGTGTACCCTAACCTACCAAAACCCTACCAAAACCTATTAATTATGTTTTTAGGTTCCTTTTTGGTTCTGAATTAGGGTTCATTGGCGGTTCGCGAGTTCAGGGGTACCTGTAATGACGTTCCTGTATAACAGGGTTTGCATTTGGGCTCCTAATTTGATGCACCTAAACCCAAAAAGCCTAAACCGGAATGGCAGGTTACGACTATCCAACCAACTCCAAGAACATTGCCCTTCTTCCGGTGCCGCACTGCAACTGGGCGGCTGCGGGGGTTTCCTGAGCTCCGAGTGTCCCAGTGGAAGGTTGCTAAGAGTTAGAGTGTAGGGTTAAGGCCAACATGTCTTGTTACCTTCCCAGCGGATCCTTGCTTCTCGAGCCCTATGGGATCCAAACTTCAAAAACTCATTGAGACAGGATTTGACCCAACTCAAACCTATGCATCGCCCTGTAAACGGTTACAATGCTTTGCGCCACTTTTGTGTCGAAAACCGTGTGAAACAGAAAGAGTCTTCTGGACGGCCGTCTAAACCCTCCAGCACTAGGCCACACGCTGCCGGCGACGCTGGAGCATTTCGGGCTCGGGCTGCTGTACCGACGGCCGCAGTTTCCTCTCGGGTGATTTTTTGATGTTTGGAGTTAAGGCGGCTCGGATTTGAACCTTTAGGGTTTAGGGTTCTATAGAAAGAACCCATAATAAAGACCAAGGGTTTCTTAATCAAGTTCCTACATTGATAGGGTTAAGGCTAAGGCTGAAGGGGTTAAGGGCCTACCGGCTGTTTTGTTCAGGCTATTGTTGAGGCGCCTGTGTGCTTTATGTGCACGGGCTTTACACGGCCTTTTGGACGTCTTGCAAGGCCACAGCTTACCTAATCAGAAGCATAAGATGTTCTTTTAGTTGCGCTCTCTACAATACTCGAAAACCATATTCTAGTCATTACTGTAAGGCGCCCATACTCCTTATATTAAACTGTAAAGGAGCCCAAAACCCTAATCTAGATACTAAGGCCCAGTCAGAAAACGATTGAACTGTGGGTCGCCGGATTGTAAGTTAGTTCGAGGCCACTGGACATGAGACCTGGAAACACCACACATCCCGAATCCCACAGCCCCCAAACACGAGTTTGAATTCTGAATAGTAGTGTTAATATGCCGCTGTGTCCCGAAGTAAGTCCCCTTAGATCCCATATATCTGAATCCGTACCCCGTTTAAGGTACAGTAGCTACCAGGAGAGATCGCAGGATGCTTTGTGTACGCTGCAGAGTTGACGAATCAAAGCCCTCAGTTGTTCGAGGTTTCTGTCTGTGGATTTGCTGTCGCTGCATTGGTTCCGTGGGGCTTGGGGGCAATGGGTTGGAGCCTGCCCGGCATGGTAGTAGATGTGTCAAGTGGTGTTCAAGGAAGAGTAACTTGTTTTCAGTACTCTGTTTTGCCCGTTGATCCCACCAAGCTCGACAAACCACAAATGCGGGACCCGAAACCCTAAGCCCCAAGCCCAAAACCTTGCGCCGACCCCAAGCCAAAAGCACCTCTGCGCTGCAGGTACCCCTCCGAATACAAGCTTGTGGTGGACTGGTTTGATCGGGAGCTCCTCGGCCGCCTGGGCTTTGGCCCGTTTGCTTTTGTAGGGCCGTAGGGCCTGGGGTTTGTGCTGTTTTTGGTTTTGGGCTTGGGGGGCTTGGAAATGTATGTATTTTGGAAACAGAGCCCCGTATAGAGGGACCTCAAGCCCTATAGAACGCCCACTGGCAGTGGAGGTATGGTCTGCTAGACCAGATCCTCATGCATGGCACCCATGCAACCTGGTCCAAGAGAGCGTTTCAGAACTTAAGCTTTTCGGGGCTTTGCTTTTAAGGTTTCGTGCCCATAGGGTTAGGCTTTAAGGGGGTTTGGGTTTCCGGTTAGGGGTTTCGGGTTCGATTCAGGGTTGCGGTCGGTTCTTTGCAGGTTTTAGTTCAGGCTTATTATTAGTTGTGGTTCTTCGGGATTCGTTGTAGGGTGGAGGGTGTTTAGTTCTGCAGCTTTGGCAGCCTGAGTGTTGAGGTCAATGAGTTTGGGGTCCCTTTCAGGACTTAGTCACGAAGTGTGGAGGGCTTAGGGCTTAGGGGGCTTAGTTTTGAGTTCGTGGTCTGGGGTGCTACGTAAGCCAGGTGCAGCCATCATCACGTATTTGTTTTTGTTGGGACCTGTTCTCCGTCTCCGTCGAGGGGTCCGCCACCGTGCCTAGCTCAGCTCCTCGGCCACTTGTTTCGGAATCTGAGTGTTCCCTTTTCCTATCCCCCCTGTCCTGGCTCCTCCAGCTTTGTCCTGACTCTCCATGTTCCTTGATCGCCCATTTCTTCTTCTCGCTTGTACAGGAAAAAGAGGAAACGGTTGCTGCTCAACAGAAGCCGGCTGGCAATGAACAACGCGCGCTCTCTGATGTGGGGGCCAACGACTGCAGTTACTGCAGGATCTGCATGCCTGTTGCATGCTCGACACCGTTTCGCTGCACATGTTGTAGGTAGCTGGTTAGCCTGCATCTTTGCAAGATGTAGTGTAGAATCATTGACTACTATGGTTGATCAAACGTTCGGGATGACGAGCATGAGCATCTGGGAGCATCTGCCCGAAGTATTGTGCCATGGATCAAATTCTGTCAGCAACATACGCGGACATCGACGTGACCAGCAAGATCCGCGAGCGTTGCGAGCAACAGAAGCACTTAGGGCGTGTTTTCTTCAAGGACTTCGTGCCCGATCTGGTAGAGGATGACCCGCGCCCGGGTGTCCGGAAGTTCTTGATGGTGCAATTTCAGGACAGCTGTTCTGTGGGCAGTTCTCTAAATTCGGGTTTTCGAGGGGGTGCCGTACTATATTGGGGACCTACAAAGGGGACCTATTTTGGAGAACTACCCATGTAGCATTCGCTGCACAAGCCATGTCGAATCATTTCCTCAAGCTCAGGGGCATTGATTCATTGATTGGTGGAGAGCTACCCTGGCTGCTTGTCCCAGCACTTTCAGTGTAGCCGGCGTAGCCTCGGGATGAAATATTTGGCTAATGGCAGTGCAGGATGGTACTCAAACAACATGCGGTGATGGGGATGGTTTCGAGTGCCTTAGCTGAGTCAATTGGAGTCTGTTCTGTTTATGTTGTTAACATGCGCCGATGGCTTCGGCTCGTGCGGAGCTGCAAATGTAAGGTGGATTCACGACAAAGCCTTGCACGAGAGCATCGTTGGGCGAACTTATGAGCATCACGAGTGTCGCAGATGAATTGTGCGACGAACTAGGGGCACAGTCGTGTGTGTTTTTGGGACCCAAATCCCAGGTATATTGCCAAAGCCATTTATGCCTCCGGAGATCATCCAGCGCCGCAGGTGGACGTCACCAACAAAGTCCGGACTCTGTTCGATGATGCTGGAGCAAAAAGCACAGATGTCTTCAAACTTTCTGATTTCAACAGCCATTTTGGAAATCCGAATCCTGATGCATCGAAGATGTTGGAGATTACGCTGCAAGATGGTCGCGTGTTCTTCTACGATGAAGATGAGGAGTGTGCTTTACCGCATGGGAGGCCAAAAACCGACAATACCTCGCATCTACGGTGGCAAAAGTTTGGCGAAGAGAAAGTGATGAGTGAGGCAGAGCTTCTGGAAACTTTGCGTGGTGCAGGAATCACGTACGATTCGAAGTACCGGGTATGTGATAAGAACCCAGTGGGTGCGATACAGGAATTTTGCAAGAAGCACGGCAAAGTTTTCCGATGCCCCTGGTATAACTTTGTTGACCACGACGATTGGCAATGGCGATGCTTGTTGTAAAAACCAGTCAGTTTCAATATAGGGACTTAGGTTATTTAAATGCACCATACTGTTAATTAGTGTTCTTTGTTATAAATAAACCGAAGACTGTGTGTTATACTCCGAAAGCCTATTCTAAATAGCGAGGCCCCAAGTTAAAGAATGCTTTTGCACTGCCGGGCGCATGGTGCGATCTTCCACCCTGAGGCAAGCTCTACTGGGCGCGACCGCGGCAGATCAATCCTGAAGCCGTTCTCTTTCTAGATGGTTGCTTAGGAATACACGTAAAGTACCTTTTCACTTTTTTGAGGTGAGAATCCTCTTATAGTCCCGAAGGTTAACCTTTATGGTGACTACCCATAGGCCCCCAAGTAGTTCCTTCTTGGGATTACCTTATAGGATCCTAAATAAATATAGACCATAAAAAGGAACTACTTAGGGGGCCTATGGGTACCCCGGAACCCCTAAACTGGCTCCTTGGGAACTGGAGATGCAAGGCTGCAATGTTACAGACACCAGACAGGAGCCCTTGTCTGCACAGGGAGGTTTGGAGGTTTGCTGCTTCTCTGGGTAGTTCTCTAAACTAGGGTCCCGTTTAGGGCCGCTTGTTTTAAAGAAAAAACAGGTGCTGCATTAGTTTGGGGACTTAAACAGGGACCCTAATTTGGAGAGCTACCCTCACGGTGCGCCCTTATACGACTCGAGCCTAGAGGTAAGTTATGATCACAACCAAGAAGTTTCTCCGACTTGCCTGTCATTGAAGTCTTGCCGGACTTTCCGTCGACTGCAGCCATAGGCAGTCGTAGTAGGCATGATCGCAAAGCCCCGGAAGGGTAAGCGAGAAGCCCTGAATCATTAGTCATGGCTGTTTGCGTGCAGTTCTGCTATTATAACCCAATTAAAGCCTTATTCTCATCTTTATTGCAGCCCCGATAAGCTTTTCGCTTCATTGAACACAGGAAAGAACCCTACCTTGATTGTCCAGGAGGCCCCTAAAATTATAATCACTTAGAGCCATGGACTTGCCTTGACCCCTATGCCCCACAAAGCCCTACACAGCCCCCAAAACCCTAAATCCCCAAAAGCCCTAAAGAGCTCTTAAACCACCAGAAGCATCCAGAAGCCCTTTTAACCCTGCGGAGCCCTATAAATCCTCTAGGCCTTGTGAGTCCTAAACCCTCATGAAGCCCTGCAAACCACTAGGCCTTTAAACCCTTACGCTAAACTCCCACCCCACAACGCGTCATAACACCCAGTATATTTCCCTATAAATGCCCCAAGCCCTAAACCATAATGAAACCCCAGGCCCTTAACCCTAAACCCCAAACCCTAGTCCTAAACCCTATAGACCCTAAGCCCTAAACCTTATGAAAAGCCCAGGGCGGCATTGGCAACTGCGGAGTCTGCGCCATGGCCGGAGCTGTTCAATCGCTCCAGTCGCAACCCTTCTATCGGAACCTAGAGCCGAAGGAGCTCCGATTTTCGGTTTAGGGGTTGTAGGGTTTAGGGTTTTAGGGTTTAGGGGTTTTAGGGGTTTGGAGGTTTCCAGAAGGGCTCTGAAAGGGGTTGCGTGTTTTGGAAGTTTTGTTCGGTGGTTTGGGGGTCTTTGAGGGGGGGCGGGGGTGGTGTTTAGGTGGAGAGGAGTTTACGAGTCTCTAAGAGGTTAGGGCCTAGGGGCTTAGTGTCTTAGGAGTTGAAGATTTCGGAAGTATAGGGTGGAGGAGTTTAAGGTTTCGGAGGTATAGGGTTGAGCAATGGGGTTGTGCTAGAGGGGGTGACGATCATGCACTCAACTGGAACTCCGGTTGCTTGTTGTTTCAGATGGGTGGCAACTCAAGCCCCAAACCCAAAACCAAACCCTAAACCCTAAAACAGTTCCGATGCACAGGAGATTAACGAGTTTGGTTGCTATGCCTACCGCACGTTCTCGAACGGTACCTTCGATGCTTGGATCCTGCTCCTTGCCGAAGTGGCTTATGGTTTGGGTTTTTGGGGGTCGTTGTTGCTTGATTTTGGACTGCTTAAGTTGCCATGTAATCGATCGGTCGCAGGTTTGACGACTTCATCCCATGCGTTGATCCAGAAAGAAAGACGTGCTGGAGCTTCCACAGTCAGGACAACAAGGAGATGTGGCCAATGCTTCTGGAAAAGGCCATGAGTACACGATCCAACGATTACAACATATGGCCCAAGGCAAACTCTTTCCCCTACTCAACCCAGAAGTGGATGTACCGGATCTGGGATTACGGCCCCGAGATGTTCCACATCATGGAGCCCATCGACAGTGCCAGTGGCACCGGCTTCCAGTTTTTAGAGGCACCTGAACAGCAGCAATGAATGCTAACAGTAAGTTCATAACGATATCAAAAAGACGGTGATTATGATGATGATGGTTATCGTCATCAAGCTCTTGCTGCTTTTCTGCATTGCTTGCTGGGACTTTGCCAGGAGCACGTTGGCAAGGACACGGTCTGCGCTTTCGCGTGGGGAAGGGACGGACGGCTCGCATCGCCTAAGCAGCTTACGGAGGTTGCTCGCTTAGCCAGCTGGAAAGCTGTACACCTGCCCATAGGCCCCTAAGTAGTTGTTTTTTATGGTTTATATTTAGAATCCTATAGGGTAATCCCAAAAAGGAACTACTTGGGGGCCCATGGGCAACCTTCACTCTTCTCACGTTTTTTCTAGAACTCGCGGGGCTGACGAGGCCCGATGCATAGCATGGACTGATGCTACGCGCCTGCTTTGGCTAAGGTTGGCCTCGTAGCAAGTCATGGCTACTCACTGGTCCAGTGCAAGCGAGTCGGAGACCGCAGGTTTTTGCAGTGCCGAAACCCATGGGGCACTTTTTCGTGGAAGGGCAAGTTTGGATTTGGATACGACTGGAGTGAGGAGCCCGCTCTTGCGACAGAGCTAGCCCCCAACATGAGCAAGACGGACAATGGCGTTTTCTGGATATCGAGAGAGGACATGTTTCGATGGTCAAATCCCAACATGCGCTTTACGTTGATCCTCGACGCATCTGCAGAGCATGGCTACAAGACCGACTCGCTTTCTGGAGCCATGGCTTCTGGTGACAATGCCCACCCTGCAGTGGTCATCAAGATGCCCGACCAGGCTTCCATTGATGCAGCAGGCACTTCACTCTTCCTATTCCAAGCCGAGGGCTTCGACGCACGCCAAACAAACCAGTCCAAGAGATGCTATGTGGAGGTGTACCAGCTTGCGGAGGATGGACAGAGGGTTTGCTCTTCAACCCCGCTGATCTCGACGCAGGAGCTTGGCGCATGGTGGGGTCGCGAGACACTGGGTTCTTGTTAATCATACCGAAAGTTACCATAATGAGGAGAGAGACACTGGGTTCTTGTTAATCATACCGAAAGTTACCATAATGAGGAGACCGTGTAGAGTCCTATTATGGTAACTTAAACTGACTTTCCTTAAACAAGAGCCCAGGACACCGGCTCACCGACTACACGTTGGCAGCGGGGCACCCAATCCCTCCGTTCCAGCGGGCTGCTCCCTTCTTTTGGTCGTGCGGCCACAGCCAGGGCAGACAGGGAACAAGACTCGAGTGACTAGGTTCCCCAGTAGTACCCTTCTGTACCCTTTTGCCCTTTTTCTTTTTGGGATTCTTTTCTGAAAATCGAAAAGTAGGAAAAGGGTACTGGGGAACCTAGGTGATGTTGGAGCAGGGTGAGAAGTTCTTCCTGCGAATGGCATCCAAGCCTCACCATTCCCGCTCTGCAAACTTCAAGCCTTTCTCGGCTTTTCTGCCTGTAAAGCATGCAGTGGTTTCATCTGCGAAATATCACGAAACGGACGTCACCAGCAAGGTGGTAGAACTATACGACAACTCCCGAGAAAACGTCAAATCAAGTGGGGGGACGTGTGGCCAAGATGGCGACCACTTCGCATTCACCGATTTTAATGCACTCTTCGGTGACCCTGCTCCGGGCAAGCCCAAGAAGCTGACAGTAACTGGGTTCTTGTTCAGTAACCTAATTTCAATTATAATGGGATCGCTACTATTAGTGACTAATGAGATTTTGCCATTTCTGAGTTCCGGTTCCTTAATAAGAACCAAGGTAAGCTTCGAACAGGATGGGGAGGAGAAAACCGTCTCTGTGGAAGAGTCTGACTGGATGCGCATTCCCCGCGCAGCTCAGCATTCCAGCGAAGGTTGTCCAGATTATGACGACTTTGGAAAGACGCTCCCAGACCATAAATCATCTACCTTTTTGGGTCTCCTTGCTGTGATGCTCTTTTAATCTATCAGTCCCAAGACCTATACAGCTTCCTTCGGTAGGTAGTTTAGGAGCCAGGTGGGGCATACAGCGAGCGACCTTCGGCCCGCTAGATGTGACCCATGCGCTCCGCGGCATCCTTAGCGACTTCGGAGGCAAGCTGGAGATCCGGAGGAACCTTGGGGACCAAATGACCCTTAGGATTGGGGGGGCTTCATGCCCCTATACTATGAGTCCTAAATGTGGCAGACTATATGGTATATGAGCCTTAAACCCTTCCGTGGTTCATTTCGTCCTTAAGGAAGTTCGACGAAACGGGAGAGGCCAACCTGGGCACAGGGGATGTCTTCGGCGACCCGGCGCCAGGGGTCCCAAAGAAGCTGATCCTCGAGTTTTCCAGCGGAGCCACCGAAACATGGGAAGACGGCGATGAGGTGCGCATCGATGTCTCGGATTGGAAGCCGGGAGTCAAGTCTTCCCCCGCGCGAGCCGGTGCAGGCCGCGGCGTGGCACTGGCAAAAGCAAGCCGGGACAGCTGAACACCTCCACAACTGCATCGAAACCGGAGTGATTTGAGGCCGCTGGCTGTCAACATGTGCGCGTTTCACAAGCTGCAGGCAAAGCATCTGCAAAGAAGAGCATGTTTCTTTTTGCTTCTTTGGCCGTGCACCCCATCGAAGCCGTTCCAAACAGGCAACATACCTGCTACATTCTAGCTATGCTTGCACGACATAGAGCTGCATGAGTCTGTAAGGCCTTTTATTACGCCGAAACCTCAGCAGCGTCCCCCAAGACTTCGATAGATTCTGGTGTGAGACATGCGCCAGGGCTCCGCCGTCGATCCCAACACTCCAATGCTAGACCTGCACCCGATACGAAAACACTCAAGATGGTTTGTTCTGGCCATGTCTTAAAGGAGTGTCATGTTCAGGGAGGAGCATGCGGGCTTTGATTAGCACTATGCTGAGGTTGATGGTCCCCTAACTATTTCGGATAATTGCGCGTCTTTGTAGATATAGGTTGCCTTTAACCTTTCGGGTGTTTTCTATAATCCTACCATAAACAGAAAGGGGTCGTCCCGTGTTGGGCTAGGGCCAGAATATACACGAAAACGTAAAACAATACGGGTAATATCATACCACATGCGATATCACACTGTGATTTACCCTAACATATTATGCGGGTTCTTTTGCTATGCCATCATATATAATTTACAGTAATAAACATACCATAAATCTACAGTAATATACCATGATCTACTATATATCATGCACTGTCGTAGGTCCTCTCCTCAGTCTCCGAGGTGGTGAAAGTCGCCTTGGACAACGACCGAGCGTTCAACGCTGTGGCCAAGAGCTACAAGGCCGGGTGCGGCTACCCATAGCCCCCCAAAGTAGTTCCTTTTTGGGATTACCTTATAGGATTCTAAATATATACCATAAGAAAGGAACTACTTAGGGGCCTATGGGTAGGGTTGGGGGTTTAGGATTTAGGGTTGAAATATAAGGGATGGTGCTTTGCACTCGGCTGGATTCCAATGCAGTATCCTTTGGGCCTAGGTAGACACCGCTTGAGTAGTTGGACGCTTTTGGTTTCAGGGCTTATGCAGGCGATCTGTGGCCCAGTATAGGGGCCTTAATAATCCAAACAAGGTTTCTGGGTATATGATATAATAAGGTGGGGAGTGTTAGGGGCCTCAATAATCCAACACAAGGTTTCTGGGTATCGGTATATGATATAATAAGGTGGGGGAGTAAGCAGGGAATACTATTGCAAATGTTCGGGAGTCTAAATAGTGTTGAATCTCGAGCTCCCTCTCGCAGCATCCACACCTACACATGACATGCGAAACCGAAGGCCCAAACACTTCAACACCCTCCACTCTTGCAACCTCGACCGGTTTTATGATTGTTTTATGAGGATGTTCCTTATTGACGCTTTGTAGGGTTTCATAGGGTACTCTCCGGAACCCAACCCCCCCTAACCCCTTGTTCCCGAACCCTCCAGCAAGAGGCGCTCCAGAGCAAAGTCATACCCAACAGGCCTGAGTAATTGGAATAGGGTTTGGGTGCTGTATAGTCTACTTATCACAAGGAACCATGAGGAGTAGTATCCCTCATTGGTACAGGCTTCGATAATAATTCTAGTAAGAAAACCTGGGCAAGCCGAAGCCGGAGGTCTGTAGCCGCGTGAAGACTCCGCAGAGCTTGATGAAGAAGCTTCTGCGAGGCGAGATGGAGAGTTTGAGTTCATGTTTGTTGGGTTGGTTCCGAGTTCGGGCACTTCGGTTGTTACAGGCCCTAAGTGCTTGGATTCTGAGTGCTCAAGGTGGCTTTGGAAAACCATGGCTGCGATTTTACGGTCAAGACAAATCCAGGAATACCAGGCCTTAAGGAAAGGTTCGTCATTCACACTTGGGTAGTTCTCTACGTACAGCGTTTATCCTGGTGGGACTTCGACACCGCAACGCGCGGCTATGACCGGCTCCCCCGTCTTGCAGCAATGTGCAGATCACCGGGTAGGGAGACTCTGGGGACAGTGTGACTTGCTGCGTCCCGGGCTGCATGTCTACAACTCTGTCACTGTTGATGGTCGTTAAGTTGGGCATGAGCGGTTTGTGCAATTTCTGGCAAGCCCTAAACCCTAAACCCTAAGGCCTTCCGAGGAAACAACAGCTTCGCCTCAAGGTAGCTGGGTTCTTGTTAAGGAACTTGGCTTAAGTTCAGTTTCACGAACTATATCCATGATGAAAGCTTTGTGCTATCCTCGTGCTAACACACTTGTGGAACCCGTAGACCCCAAATCCAATAGGATATGATGACTTATGACTTAATTTGATTTCCTTATATATACATACATATAAATATACACACATACTATTACTACTACGACTCCAGATCCAAAGCCCTAAACTGTGTCCCAGCTTACCGCGAAAAAGAGCCCAGGTAAGGTCGTAAACGACTTACTGGGGCTGGAGGTCATCATCCAGCTTCCCGGCTCTATGGGCTTTCGAAGTGAGGGGTGAAACATAGAAGGCTCTGCGGGGTTTTAGAAGGGTGCTACAGGAAGACCAAGGGATTTAAGGAGGTTTGAACTGGGGCACAGCTCCTCGATACGATCATTCCCCCCAAAGCTTACAAAGACGGCCTTTGCTTTCTGAAGTGGGCTTGTGGGTATCCGGGTTTAGCAGCTGCCTTATACTCCCTATCTATCTATCTATATATATGCATGCCCACACACGCATATTTATACATATATATATATAGAGAGAGAGAGAGAGAGCGAGAGAGTGAGTGAGAGAGACAGAGAGAGTCTGGTAGTAGTACAAGTAGTATATACTGGCTACGGCAAATTAGGTTATGCATATAGAGTAGATTAATGAGCTCAAGGAAGTGAGGCCCTACAGCAAACTAAGGGTCGCACTTACAAGCACCGAACCCTGTAGAGATCGCCGGAGGGATGCAATTTTTGGGGGGCCTTTTTGTATCAGAATAGGAATGAATGTGATTTCGGGTTTTCTTTACTACACTTACAACCAGTAAGAATACCATTAATAATGATTCGAGCTTCTGCAGCAGTGGAGGAATCGGTTTTGCATTGCAAGGGTTTAGGGTTTGGGCTAAGACGTTCGAGGTAGATCGCAAGAGCCTGCTTTGATGATGTCGGCTCCTGTAGTAGGTGACGGTTCAAGCGTTCGAGTGAACGTACTTCCGATTGTTGCGTCCATTTGGTTGAGGTTTTGCGAGTGGGTTATGAACTGGCATATGTCAGGTTCTTTCTTGCCAGTACATGTTCGAATCCGTGCACTTACACTCCTCTACCCCAAAAGACCCAAGAGCCCTCCCTAAGCGTGACAACCTAAGCCCTAAGCCCTTCAGTGTTTTATGGTTTACAGGGTTTAGAGTTTGGGTCCAAGCCCCTACTAGAGCTTACTATGATTCCTAAACCCTAAAACCTAAAAGGGCTCTCCGATTACTAACCATGCAGTTGGAAAACGGTGTCCAAAAAACCTTAACACCCTAAACCCAAAAACCCTAACACCCTAAAGCCCTAACAGCCTAAAGCCCTAACACCCAAAACCCTAAAACCCTAAACCCTAAGAAATCCTAGACCCTAAAACCCAAACACCCCTAAGCCCTAAAGCCTTAAACCCTAAAGCCCTAAACCATAAAGCTCCTAACCCCTAAGCCCTGAGCAAGAGAAAGGGCGCAACGCTCCCCGAGGCCTCGCGAGCTCGAGTCCGAAACAACGCCCCAGAAGACGATCAAGGCGTTTAGGGTTTAGGGTTTAGAGTTTAGGGTTTAAGGTTTAGGGGTTTAGGGGTTTAGGGTTTAGGGGTTTAGGGTTTAGGGTTTAGGGTTGTTCGGTCTTCGCTTCTTGAACCTATGGGTTTAGGGTTTAGGGTATAGGCCCAAAGGACCCAATCGTTAGATACTTGGGTTTAGGAAACAGTAGGAATTCGCGTTTGCATCCAGGGAGTAGGTGATTATGTGGTACTTGGACCCAACTTTGGCAGGGTGGTACCCTAAAGCCTGGACCCAATAATAATAAGGTTTTTGACTCGGTTTTCCAGGCTACATACAAGTCGAGCCTGAAGAGCCCCTGAGAGCGCATAGATTTGGTCCTAAAGCACCAATTATAGGGATTACTTTAAGGCCGACGAACATGGACTCTTACAAATAAAGGTTACTTCGCCTTTGGGTTTACGTGCCCCAGTTTGGCCTTTAAAGACAATGGGTTCTAGGGGATTTTCAGTCGGTCTACTGGGTTTATATCGGCTGTCAGGAACGACGGCCCGCTGCATGGTGTACTGTAGCGTTGCTACGGCCCCTCCATATTATGCCTTTTCCCGTGGGTGGGTGGGGGGTTTGGGTTTAAGGGAACACCCTTCCACATGCACGCTGTTAGCTCCATTCCCCTCCCTGATCCCTGGGTCGATGTAGTTCGCTCGGCCTGGCCTTTCTTGCCGACCTGAGCCCCCGATAGATGCAAGCTGCAGACTAGACCTTTCCTATGCCGTCGACGTCCTCGACATGACGCTTTAAAACCAAGCACAGGTGACAGACCGTTGGTGTGCCTTAAGGGGCAGTAACTCCCCTACTCGTCAGGAGTAGAAAGAGCCCCCACGCGAGCCCAGCTCAGGGCGAAGCTAGCTGCTTTGCGGCGGCAGCGGGTATCCGCCGATTCGTCTCGAGCCGCATGCCTGAACTCAGCAGTGAAAGCCATAGACGCGACTAGAAACCGAAACCCTACCCGGCCCCGAAAAGAAACCTACCCTTTTCGGGTTCCTTACCATGACTTCCTTATGAATAGTTCCTTGCAAAGGTAGATCTTTTGGACTTGAGGTAGTCAGGTAGGCCCTGAAACCTGAGGGCTGCAAGGTTCTCATGACTGGGGTTTAGGGTTTTCGGGTTGTGGGTGATTTTAGGGTCTAGGCCTTGCGGGTTCAAGGTTTCAAGGTTTATAGGGTTAAGTTTTCAGTGCTTTGGGACTTGCATTCCTCCTAGAGGCGGGGGCAAAACGGATTAACCTGACATCA